TTATGTATGTGAGTTCATGCTCTAACATGTTCGGGCATATCTTAATGTGTGTGTGTTTTATTACATTTAGGGTGATTATAAGATTTTCCCCCTTTAGGGCTTCTGGTTATTATATTGCTTCTTTGGAAAATACTATTATTATTTTTTTTTAAAAGATGACTGGTAAGGGGATCTTAACCCTTGACTTGGTGTTGTCAGCACCACGCTCAGCCAGCGAGCCAACCGGCCATCCCTATATGGAATCCGAACCCGGGGCCTTGGTGCTATCAGCACCGCACTCTCCCGAGTGAGCCACGGGCCGGCCCTGGAAAATATTATAAAAGAGATGAGGAAGACAGTGTGATGTGTACTCCATTTTTACTAGACAATATTTTATGGAGATCTTTCCCAGTTAGTATATACATATGTATTTCTTTATTTTACTGTTCTATACTTTATAATTAATCTTCAAATGTAATTGTTATATTTGACTATAAAATAATATATGCTTGTTGTAAAACATTTTAAAACAGTGCAGGGCCAGCCCGTGGCTCACTTGGGAGCATGTGGTGCTGATAACACCAAGGCCACGAGTTCGGATCCCATAGAGGGATGCCCGATTAGCTCACTTGGGAGAGCGTGGTGCTGACAACACCAAGTCAAGGGTTAAGATCCCCTTACGGGTCATCTTTTAAAAAATAAAAATAAATATAAACAAATAAATAAACAAATGAGGAATAAATAAATAAAACCGTGCAGAAATGTACAAAATATAAAATGTAGTTTTCTTCCCTCCATCTTCCCCACTTGCTTCCAGGTGTATCTACTGTTAATAGTTTGATATGTATCCTTATACACTTTTTTCTACTTTTGATGCAAAAAAAAGTAAGCAATATATAGTGATTGAGGGGGCTTCTTTGTTTTTTACAAAAACAGTGTCATAGTACGGTATGATATGATTCTGCAACTTACTTTTTTCAATGAACAATATGTCATTGTTCATATATCAAGGTATATGAGGGTTTTTTTTAAATGACCACATAGTATTCCAGTAGTATAAACCAATTTTCTATTGATTAACATTTAGATATTTTGTTCCCTAATTTTCACCTATTTTTTTTCTTATGAACTCTTAATAATAAAGTCATAGTAGCAGGATTTATAGGCTAAAGGATAAACTTATTTAAAATGTTAATACGTGAGACAAGATTGCTCTCCAGGAAAGTTATACAATTTTATACCTTCACCCGAAGTGTAGAGAGGATCCATTGTCTGGGTATTATAATTTTTTTCTTTATCAATTTGGTAAGCAATACAATCTCATTGTTGGTATTATTGGTATTTCTTTGATTACTAATGAGGTTAAGCACATTTTCATATGTCTATTAACTGTTCAGAGTTCTTTTGTAAATTATCCATATTTATGCTCATGTTCAATAGAAGTGATTGATTTCTTCTTCTTAACTTGTAAAAGTTCTTTGTATATTGGAAAAATTAGTTATCACGAGGATTGCAAATACTTCCAGAATTTGTTGTTTGTCTTTTAACTTTGTTTATAATAATTTTTGCCATACAGCACATACAGAAGGTGTTTTTATTTGCCGAATTTATCAATCTTTTCCTTTTTGGTTCCAGGGCTTCATGTCAAGCTTATAAAAATCCATCACCTCAGGATTATACAAAGTGCTGCCATATTTCCTTCTAGAACTCTGTGGTTCCATTCTTCTACATTTAATTCTTTCGTCTATCTGGAATTCATTTTCTATAAATAGTGAAATATGTGTGTAGCTTTATTCTTTTCCCAAATAGTTAGCCAATTGTTCCAGCAGCATTTATCGAACAACCCATCTTTCCCCCACTGATTTAACTGTCTTATTTAGCGTATACTAAATTCCCCTGATTACTTGAACCTACTTCTGGACCTCATTCTGTTCCCTAGATCTACAATATATTTCTGAGCCACTAGCACGTTGTTTTAATTTCTGTAGGTTAAAACTAGGGCTACTCCTTTAAAAATATTATTTTTTAATTTCTGCATTTTTTTATTGAGGCAAAATTGATATAGCATAAAGTTAACCATTTTAAAGTGAACACTTCAGCGACATTTAGTACATTCACGTCATGCAACCATCACCGCCATCTAATTCCAATACATTTTCATGACCCCAAAAGGAAACCCTGTACCTCCCAAACATTTTTAACACACACAAAATAAACTTTTATTATAAAATCGCGGGCTTCAGGTCCACTGTGTATTAGGAAAGTTAAAATTCAAGTCCTAGTTCAGAATCATAGTGAAGACTTTCCCGACTAAGGCCTTCCTCCAGCATGGCCTGTGCATCCCCAAGCATGCTTTTGCATCCCCAGTAGCCCAGTACGCAACTGGGATTCTGCTAATCTGCTGCTGAATTGCTTTGTGATTTTTTCTCAAGCATCTGTGACTTGTGCTATGTCTCCTTAACAACCCTGTAAACCTGCTCCTTTTTTTTTCTTTTCCTCAGTCTGCCCCTCATAGCATCTGGCACTAGCTTTATGCTGTCACATTCTCATTAAATTATTATTCACTGTTGTTATCAGACTTCCATAGTAGACTCAGCAGGGTATCAGGAGACTGTGTAGAGCATGTTTTAAATGGGAATTAAGAGGAAATTGAACATACGGTATTTTACTTTCAGATAATATGATACTACTAGATGGCATTTATTAAGTGCCTATTAATTGTCATGCCACACACATTGTCTCACTTAATTCTTACAACATTCTTCTGGGGTGGAGGTTTACTGATGATATTCAAAGAGGTTCAGTAAGTTGCCTAAAGTCCCTGGACGTGTCAGATCCAGGCTTTGAACTCAGGTTTGCCTGAGTACACTGCGGTTTCTACCATGCTGTATTGTTTCCATATATTCTCTCTATCAAAGGCCATCCATCATTTTATCCCAGTTCATGTGTTTACTTTGTTGTTATTGTCAAGTTTGCCTAGAGGGAGCGTCAAACCTTCCTGCTGAGGTATATGATCGGGATAATTGGGAATCTCCAAAGAATCATTGCTTCTCTCACTCATGATCTTACTTTGTGCCCTCACCAAGCTATCAAGGATCAAGTTCATTCCTTGCTTTATTATGTTCTCAGTGCTGGATGGAGTCCCATGTTAGATGGTCCAAGTATTATAACTGTCACCTTGGCTAGAGCTGGAGCTGGAATATGGAATTGAATCCAGGCTCAGCCTCCTTTAAGGATGGGAGACATTTTTCGAAGGGGGAGAATCCCACTGGGTGTCTTGGAGCTCCATCTCTTCCCAGTCTGCCAATATTTGGCCTTTCCCTATTTCCTGTGTTCTAGAAAATGTATGAAGCTCAGGGATATCAGAGAGTACTATTAGGAGAAATTAAGTTTAAATGAATCAGAAACACATGGATTGGCTCTCCCTCAGAAGAGACTCACATTTTAAAATAGAAGGGAAAATATGTGATCAAAGACTAGATGGGCTTTTAAGTATGGAAGCAGTGTTGGAATATTTCAGCAAATCCTAATAAGTTGGGCACACCCAGCCCAAACTCCCCCTCACAGCTGCAGAAAGACAGGCCACCTCTGGGATGGTGTAGTCCTGGATATATGTTCCCTGGATGTGGGATCAGAAGGCACGGGTTCATGATGCAATAATTCCACTTAGTAGCTCCCGTGGCCTTTGCGACTGGATAAGACACTTGGCCCTTGTAAATTTCCTTATCAGTTAAAAAAAAAAGGAGGGGTCCCTCCTGCAACCAGGCACGCTGCAGCTGCCATCGGGCCTGTTACTCTTTCAGAAAGAGAGAAGAAATCTGGGGTTATCAGAGGCGGGAGGAGGGAGGGAGAGTGGGATGGGATGAGACTGGATAAGGAGCATAAAGAATAAGTACGATTTGTAATAATATATGTGCTAATAATATTGATTTGATCAACATATGTTAATGTTGAACCCCAAACATATGTATAATCAATTATAATTCAATAAAAAAATAAATAAAATTTAAAAAGGAGGGGAGTTTATAATGATAATATCTTTCCTATCTGCTGGTAAGGCTTTTGTGACATCATCGTTCTGGTTTGCTGTAAATATT